TTTTTTTTTTGTAATTGTTGTAAACTTTTAATTTGCAAGTTCAAAAATAACAAAATCAAAAAAGAATATACAACTTAATTTGAAGTATTATATATTATTCAATAAAAATATCAAATGAAAGTTTTCGAAGCTTGATCCTTACATATTGCCTATTGGTCTTACTAAATAATTTTTTTTAGCCACTTACTTTCAAATTTCAATTTTAAAATTATACAATTCAAATTTTAAATTTAAAACTTTAAACTTTAAAGTTTAATTCTAAGGCTTAAAAGTTTGCAAACACTTAAGTATCAATAACATTGAATAAGAAAAACAAAATTTACTTTTAAAAAAAAAATTGCACGGCCCGCTAACAGCCCTCTAAGCCCTAACCCAAATGGACAAAAAAAATTCGAAAAAGTACAACCCGCTAATTTAGCTCACTAACAACCTGCAACATTAAACGGACGGGCTAATTTTTTTTATATTCAACCTGTCCCAGCCCGCCTGTTAAACACCCATAGGTAAACAGACTAATATTTGGAACCGAAGAAAAAATCAACGTAGTGCTCACCGACATGATTGTCTCGATCGGTCCTGTTCACTAACGACAGATCTAAAATATCTTATATAATGAACATATTCATGATATAATCAGAAAAGTTCATTTTCTCTTTCATGAAATATCTTCTAAAAGACATTCATAGTGTTTTTCGAGACACAAACACATGAATTCATGTTCCCTTTTTTTGTACCCAACGAAAGATTATTAGCGTTAATGTGATTATTAAGACGATAACAATTATTCTTTGCATCTTCTGGCATTTATTCCGACAAAGGATGGACATATCTGCAGTGTGTATTTATATTTAGTTTTGATATAGGACCTCTGCAATAAGCAGCTGACGGTGAGAAATTCAAAAGAAAAATGCAAGTAGTAAAACCAAGAAACCAGAGCCATTTCACGTTTGATTCCTCAGGGACTGTATTATGCGAAGATCAAATTAACATTATAATGAAGAAATAATTGGTTCATTATTTTGTAGTAATTAATGAAACGAATAAAAGAAAATGATCAGTTCTCAATTATATGTAACAAATCATGTGCAAGTTGCTTTTGTTCATTATCCATTATTTGAGGATTATTTTTGTGTTGTAGATGAACAATCCAGTTCATATGTTACATGGCCCTTAATTTTTAAATACTAGTGTTGAATTGTGACTTAAGAATAATGGGCAAATTACTATGGAAATAGTCACTTTCACTTTAATATATATACTACGTTCTCTCTCTATTTGAAATAGAGTGAATGGGCAGTTTGGTGTTCTGCCCAAATTTTCTAGCTATGTTTTTAGTTTTGTCGGGTAGCACCTGCCTTTTACTAATTTCCTATCAAAAGTCTTAAAAGTAGAAGTCTTTAATTCATTCAGGAATTAACGATCAAATATATAGAAAAAACTAATTCTTGGTTTGCATAACTTAAACTGTTACTACTATACAATTCATAAAAATAGTATAATCTAATTTAGGACGAAAACTATGTTCTCTTCATTTGCTTTGGATCGATAGTTACTGGATAAAGAAAAAAACATTTTATGGAATTGCTCATGCTCGTATAGACTATGAGAATTTATATTTCTGGCTTTATTTTGTTTGGAATTAAGCCGCAAGTATTGTTGTTTTAATATGTATTAGGGAAAAATATATATATAGTGGAACTAGAATTGGAAAGGTTCTTGCTACAAATTTTACATGGTTCAATTTGGACTTCCAATGTATATTCAAAGTAAAAGATTGTAAAAGTGACAAAACCATCTATTGGCATTCCCTTTAGGAAAAACTCGACAAAATATTTCAAAGAAATGCAGATTAATTACAAACTGTAAATTCAATTACCTCACTTTAAACGCTATAAAATTAACAAGAAACTTCAGTATATATTCAACAGTAAACTTGTCTTCCTCCATTAAACAAAACAAAGAATTCCTAAAAAATAACATATCAAAGACGATCTGCGATGAAAACTTAAAGAAAAAAAATATATATCTATGCATCATTATTTAATCATACAGAGTTTTGGAGCAACGGTAAAGTTGTCTCCATATTATATATAGGTCACGGATTCGAACAATGGAAGCAACCACTAATGCTTGTATTAGGGTATATTGTCTACATCACATTCCTTGGGGTGCGGCTCTTCCCCGAACCTTGCACGAACTTGAGATGCCTTGTATATCGGGAGTCTATCATTTCTTTCGCCCTCTATTGTGTGAATACATTGAGCAATGAAACTCTTGCATTAAGTAAACTCCTAAAAACTTTCTCCCCACCACTTTCAATTCCACAAATACAATCTTCCAATTCATGCAATTTTATAGACACCATTTTCACTTCTTCATCGTCTTTCTTTCTCAAACCCCAAAATAAACTCTCCAATCCCATTTCTACAAATTCCACGATACCTTCATCTTCTTTCACTTTCTTGGTTTTCTTTCCTAATCCAATCCAAGAGCAAGTTGGTTTTGGAAATGCCATTGATACCCCAAGTCCATTAAAAAGTGCAACAGAAACCAATTCTGTCACTTCTATAATATCTTTCATGACTTCTGCTAGTTCTGCATCTCCATCTGGCACTGGTACACATTGTTGAGGCACAATGTATTTTCCTATACATTGCACGTTAGACACAAGTTTTTCCATTTCTTTAGCCATTTTTCTCAAAGCTTTTGCATAGGAAGCAATCTTGGATTCATCTTTGCGCCTTACAGCTACCTGTTGAAACATAATATATAATTAAATGATTAATAACATACTCTATTCTTTAACCGCTTTAAGCTTTTAGATACGACGATCACATAATTAAACATGCTATCAGAGCGAACAAGAAGAGATTATTTGAATTCTATAGCCTTTTTTGAGGCTACTCTTTATTCTATCTCCTACAGCCATGTGGGCTAAATTTTGCCTTTAAAAGTATTTGGATGATTCTTTTTCTTTTTTGAAGACAATTTAGCTCACTCGGCTAAGGAGGGGCCAAAATTTAAAGAGTAGTCTAAAAAGGTCATTTGTGTCATGCACCGACAGGAGTTTTTGGTTCAAATCTCAGCGTCACTAAGTAAAAGTCATTGGAGCACTAAGCTCCTGCTATTCGCGGGATCCGGGGAAAAATCGGACCACAAGAGTCTATCGTACGTAACTTTACGCTGCATCATTGCATCAGCGTCACTCAAAACATAAAGAATACTTTCATGTGTATAGTTATCAAAAAGAATCAAGTCCACACGCAAGTAACGTGTTAAAGACGCATCAATTTTTTAAAAGACACATTAATTTTTTTTTGAAAAACTTAAGTTTAAACTACCTGAGCAGCTAAATGCTCTTCCTTGAACGTGAGAATCAATGTCTGAAAAATTCCATAAACGTCAACAAAATGAAGGAAATCATCTAGAAGCTTCTCGACCAAATCAGAATGGCCATGTAAAGATTCACGAGTTTGTGGAAGCTGAAGAAGATCGTCAAGAGACTCATGAACAATCTTGAGTTGATTCAATCCATCACAAAGCCAAGCTGAAGATCGATTTTCGGGCTTTAAAGCCCATGATTTAAGCTCGTTTAAATCATCTTTGAGCTGAGAAATTAAAGGATGAGATCGACAAGGAAGACTAGCTGATCGGACATGGAAGGTTTTTTTGGGTTTGTTTGAATGGTTAGGATGATTTGGAAAAGAAAGAGATCTTCGGAAATTGGCCACGATATTTGGTGTCATTGTTCTGGATTTTGATAATTTTTTCTCTTTTCCCATTTGGAGAGAGATGGGAATTTTGTGAGCAAAAATGTAAGGGGTTAGATAGTTGAGAGTGTTTATATAGGGACAAGAGGTTTTGGATCTAAAATTTTAGATCATGGGTGTACAAGTATTATTTTCCTAACTACTTCCATCTTTTTCATTTATCACTTTTATCCAAAAAAAATAAATTGATACAAAATACTTTTCACTATTTAAGAAGGTAATACTATTTATTTCTCAATGTCAATCATACTCCTCCAACAAGGCCTTGAGTAGTTATAAATTACTCATTTAAAGAAGGATAAGTAATAATATTATTTAGTCAAATACTCTGGAACCCAGTATAACATTAAAAACCTATAATTTCTAAAACATAATGAGTTTGGCAGTAAAACCCTAAATATTAAATTCATAAATACGTGCACAAAGCATCCCGGATTCACGCGTGATCCGGGAAAGGGCCTCCTCTAAGGGTTTGATGTAGACAATCTACTCTAATACAAGCATTAGTGGTTGATTTTACGCCTCGAACCCGTGACTTATACGCTACACGAAATTAAATTTACGGTTGCTCCAAGTCTCCTCTTTCTAAATATTAAGTTCATCAAATCAAAATGTTCGATCATCTTTCAACTAACCCCAAAAGTAAAGTAAAAGAGCATATAAAGAGAATAAGGGAGAATAGATCAAGGAATAAATCGACCTGTTGGGGAAGGCAAAAAGGCAAAATCCCGTTACAAAAGCTGAATGGGAGATTGGAGATGATCTGTATTCTGTAATTCACAGGTTATTCTGGTTTTCCTGTTGTGCTGGAGCCTAGACATCACGTGCAACTCACACCCTGTCCTATTTAATTTACTCTCTTATACTTATCCAACTGTTCTAAGCTATGACCTTTTGTTGCTGGTAGAGCAAACAAGTTAAATTAATTTCCAGAATGTCATTCTTGTACTATACTACTACTTGTGTAACAATTATTGGCTGTTGCGTTATTATAATATTTTTGAGTTTTTTTAAAGACTGAACTGTTAGTATGGAATATAGATACTGCCCATACTATAATATTTTCTTTTAGTATGTCCTGGTTTATTTGGCGTTATAATTTGGAAAATGATAAGAGAAAAAACTAAACGAGAAGTTTTTTTTTTTGCACACAGGTAATATGGAATAAGGACCGATATTCAATTGAGCAGCGGTTCAAAATTAATTTATGGGTTGTGAGTCACGTTGTCTTTTCAAAATAAAGAAAAAGCTTCGTATTTGCGTGTTAAATGCGGTGAAATTAATAGCGAAATGTAGACCTAACTCACGTGTCCATTTATATAGTTGCCGCAATCAAAGGAAATCGAATAGCATATCAATGATTCGGTTCAGCCGGTTATTTTATTAAATTTATATCATATTAATTTTTCGATTATTCTATTATATATAACTAAAATTAGACTTTTCGAAACCGTCCCAATCATGTCGGTTTCTCTTCGGTAGCGGTACAGTTCGGTTAATTTTTCGTATTTTTTTAAATATCATATAAAAGTCACTAGTAGAAGTACAATGCAATAACATATATACTTTTATAGTACTTAGCAAAACTGTCTAGATATTTTTACTGTTTAAAGGGCGAAGAATTAAGAAAACATGAAGATGGTCAGAGTATAAATTTATCAACTATTCTACTGCAGCATAAAAGAAACTAAGCAAAGACAAAAAAAGAAAATCACACGAGTGGAAAGATATTAACCAAGTTGGGACTCAAGAATAAAGTTTATAGAAGATTAAATATTCAAAAAGATAAATCTAAATCATACGGAAGGAAACATATTCAATACATTGTAATTTGCTACTCATAATCACTAGAATACTCTGTGTCTTGCTAGTGAATATGCTGAAAATAATTTAGTTTCAGTAGGAGTAGCATAATAGGTTTGAGAATTAGGATTTTGAGTTTAGTTACTTATTGACTTGTAACTGCTTTCATAATTCCAAGACCAAAGAAAATATTTAATTTTTTTATTATTTTTAAATTTAATATATAAATATATTTTTCATATGTAAATTTATTCGGTACGGTTAAGTATTTTTGGGTTTATTTTCATAAAATAAAAAATCTACCCTAATTATCGGTACGGTTATAGATCATTTATATAAAAATCTACGGTTTTATAAAATAAAAACCTAAAAAATGGTTTGATACGGTACGGTTCAATCGATATAGTCGGTTTTTAAATATTCATTGACACCCTAATTTTCAAGGACTTCCTAGTAGATTAGCACAAAGCTTGAAGTAAAATTTTGTTTGGACAGAATGTATTAGTATTTCTTTTCTACATATTTTGGTCTAGATACCAACAAAGTCGACTGATAGTTACTTGACTATACAAATTTAAATAGTTATGCAAAAAGGGCAAAAAGGTACAACCATTGCTAGTCTAAAGAATTTTCTTTCCAAAACTAAGTTTAGTAATAGTATTATCTTAAAGGCATTTTCGTTCTTAAAACAATTTACAGCTAGGAATTTAGGAAAAGTCAATCATTCTGTCTATTCACATTATTGGCTACCTAGCAATAACAGAGGACGTTGCATGTACCATGCAGTTTAATAATTGAGTTAGATAATAAAGACCTTTTTGGTTAAAGATCATTCGAGAAAGAAAAGCTCCTGGAGATCCTTTTATTTTAAATTTGTTTGCTTAGCAGTTAAAATTAATTAGAAAAAAACATATGATTGAAAACCACAAAGTCAAGTTTTTGGGATCCAAAATGTAGAAAAGGAAATTTTGCGTTACCTTAGTAAATGAAGAAAAGGTCTGGACAAGCTATTATAATAATAATAATAATAATAATAATAATAATAATTAAAGCGCGTGAAAGTCAAAGAAATCTCATATTAGAAGTCCTTCCTTATTTTCCTGCGTTTGTACTGTGTATGTCGCCTGATCCTTTTGTACTACTTTCTTTATTTATTACGTATCTCTTAAGTCTTTGATTGAATTATGAATAGTTTTTTGTTTAATTAATCACACAACGGTACGGTTAATTTAGATTCACCTCATATAGGATTCATTTAGTAGAAGTACTCTCTATCAAAATTTCTGAATTCCTAGAACTCGAGCCGCCGACACCTTTGGATAAGAGTAAAGAGATTCCTACTCATTCTACCACATTCCGGGGTGACTTATGAATGGAATAATTCCGTCCATCACCCTAATAACCGTTGCATGAAAAAGATCTTTTAGGATCTTTTAGGATTATGTTAGTGCTTAAGTTGAGGCCATTAGTGCCCCTTAATTTGATCTTATCTTAGAATCAAGCTAAGCCACTTTAGGGCTTTTTACTTCTGGAGGCTTTAAGTGCAAAGAATCAGAATAAGGACAACCTGTAATCTCAGAAACGTTTCAGTTGAAAATATTTTCTTGTGGTGGTCCTGGTGGAATAATATCAATGACGAGGCACCAAATTATAAGAGAGTGTATGCTCAAAAGTCAAAACAAAAACTGTTATTTGGTTTTAGTAAAATAAATTAGCTGTTGAATAATGTTATAACCAATTATGTCAACATGTCGTAATCCTAATGTTGTGGAAGATCGTGTGGAAGATAGTAGGTTAACTAGCACACAATCACACACAAAGCAAGTAAAGAAGAAAAATCAAAACAAGAATTTAACAAGGTTCGGCTAAGCCTAATCCTCGTACAGAAGCAGAGAGATTTTTTCACTATGAATGAGAAGAAATGCACAATATAATTTATAGAATCTCCAACTATAACCCCTATATATAGACCCTAAATAGTCTCAAACCTATAAGACAAAGGTTTTCCAATTTGACAAGGACAATATGTTTTCCTTTCCCAAATCTATTAGGACAATGGGGTTTCCTAACTCTATAAGGATTATAGGTTTCCTAAAAAATATAACAAAATAATTCAAGCCACAAAATAATAAATCTTCCCATTGGCTTGAATTCTCTTCATCAACCGGAACAACGTCTCTCTACCTTGCCCTCAGCCCTCGCAAGGGCTCTACCTATTGCCGCACATATCAACCAAGTCTAGGCAACGCCTAAACTTGTTAAAAGACTCAATCTCTTCAGCCATAGCACTAATCCGTCAAATTAGTTATGTACTTGGAATAGCTTCTCGATAACTATAACGCTCAAACACATCAACTGTCTCTGCAACTGCCAAAGCAAACTCCATAAAATTTGAATATCCAGGAAAATTACCATCAACTACATTTGCAAACCTTTGTGGTGGGTTGATCACTCTCTTCTCTCTGCCTGTTGCAATGCTATATGGTTGTTGCGCAGGTGCATCAACATTATCATCTTGATCAATATTCTGCACCTCCTCCACTACCTCTACTTTTGAACTACTGGCCTGAGCTAGTGGAGATTCAATTTCTAGCTCTATGTGGTCACTAACACCACAGTCTGTTTCTGCTATTGCCTTCTCCCTCTGACTGTCCAGTGAGGCAGATTCATTTAATGTTACATCCCTACTCATAATTAGCCCTGGAGTCTTTTGATATGTGCACCACAACCTATAATCTTTCACTCCAGTTGCATACCCTAAAAATATGCACTTCTTTGCCTTCATCTCAAGTTTTCCATCCCTAGCATGAGCATAAGCAGGACAACCAAATATCGTTAAATTTGAATAATCATCAAGCGAACCAGACCATACCTCAAAAGGAGTTTTGAACAGAATAGTTATGGATGGAGATCAGTTAACCAAATAACAAGCTGTATTGATTGCTTCAACCCAAAAATTCTTGATAACACATTAGTGTGAAAGCATGCTTCGTGCCCTATCACAAAGCGTTCTGTTCATATGTTCTGCAATACCATTTTTTTGTGGTGTTCCGACACAAGTGCGGTGTCTCACTATGCCCTCTCTGTTGCAGAAATTATCTAACTTAGAATTACAAAATTCCAAACCATTGTCAGTTCGAAGATGCTTAAATTTCTTTCCATCTGCCTCTGAACCATCGTCTTCCATTTAAGAAATGTCGGAAATGCCTCATCTTTTATTTTCCGAAAATACACCCACATTATCCTCGAGTAATCATCAATCAAAGTCATAAAATACTTGGCACCA